GGGTTAGAGTAAGAAAAGCTTTCAAACAATCCAGAAATTATATATATATATCATATACATGTATATGATATATACTATGATATCATATATAGCATACCTGCAGAGAGAGCAAGAGAAAGGAAACATGGCAACATTCAGCAATTATAGAGGTGAAAAGCATATCTTCTAAATTATCTGTTTTCTGTAGTTTGAAATTTTTCAAAATGAAAACTAGGGGCAGGGAGAAGAGCTCCCTTCAGAGGAGCACCTCTCCACGGGCAGAGAGGGCTCACCAGGGAAAGTCTGAGCTCTCAGGTGCCTCCTTCTGTTTCCAGACTCTGAGAGCTGCTACTCTGAAGTCTGGGTCGTGCCCTGCTCCAGCACTTCGAGGTGCCTGCCTCCCGTTGTCACCGACCCCGCCTTCAGCAAGACCCAGCCATGACAAACACCAGGATGCGTGGTTCTTGTCCACTCCCACCCATCTCATGACCGGCCTCACAGACCCTCTCCCAGCCTCTGACTTCCAGTGAGCAGATGAAGTGCCGCTTGGCCCTGCAGGGCAGCTGGAATGGGAGCATGGTAGAGCCTCCTAACAGATTAAATAGATCACATTTGCTTCTAAAATTAACTCCTAGTTTTCGAGACTGCACACCTAGATTCCGGGTCTAGTGCAGGGACTTGAGCCAATGAAGGAGTTGTGAAAGTAAGGATGAGGCCGTGGCTACAGGCCCTCAGGAGAGCAGTGGCACAGCTCTGGGTCTTTAATCAGCGGCAGAGCTGTGGGCAGGGACCTGCTGGTCACTGGGCACCTTGGCCTGTTGTGATGAACACAGCTGGGAATCAACATGAACAGCGAGCAGCAGCCATGCTGGCTCCCTTTTAGGGGAGCATCGAGGTGAGGCAAGCCTTACCAGGATCCCTTTACCATGGTCTTGGAAAAGTTGAAATTACTTTCCTCTGGGGCCTGAGCAGCCTGAGCTGCCAGGGGCTACACCCTCCAAAGGCCAAAGCCCCAGAAGAGGTGAGCTGTCCACACTCAGGAGCAGCAGGGCTACTGCTGTGCCTCCCTGAGGTCGGGCCTCGCAGGGACTTGCCCCTGCTGCCTGAGTGGGGGCAGAGCAGCAGACCACCTCCAGAGCCCTCCAGAGAGGGCGCCCACTGAAGATGAGATCAAAGGCGTGCAGGAGGAGGGAGAGGTCAGCGAGGGCTGGAGGGCACCAGGATTGGAAGAAGATCAGCGTTAGCGTCAGACTGGGCCACCTTGAGACCCGGGCACCCCAGAGACTCTGCTGTGCAGCCAAGGTTTGAGCCAGTGCCTCTGCCATGATCCATAAAGTTATGGGCACTGCACAGCCAGCTGCTGTCACCCCTGCTCCCAGCTTCACCCGTGGCGTTCTCCAGTCACATCCCCAGGAGGCTGGCTCAGTTGTGCTAGCTGTGACTCTGGCAGTCACTAATCTAACTCCTTCGGAGCCTCAGTTCCCCATTGGTACAATGAGGCCAAGGCCTCTGGAATCATTAAGAGTCAACATATGTGAACAACTTTCAGAACTACAGACCACTCTGCAAGTGCAAGCTGACGATAAAAATCTCAAACTGAGATTCTGTCCTATGAAATGTACTAGGCTGAATCTTGATGGAGTTTCTGTAAGGGATAACAGGAGCACACGATGAGTTACCCGATTAAGAGCATGTTAGTAATTCACCTTAGAACGAATCCCTTTTATGTTTACAGCAAAAGCATATCACAAATTTAAACCTAATAAGAAGACTCTATTTCACACCTCACCATGTCAAATTACCAGATGAAATACAGGAAATGACACTTGAGACAGAAAATCAACAGCTAAGTCAAAATCAAGATTCCTTGCTGAAACTGTGAATAACAGTTTGCTGCTTCTTTATATTTGTGAAAAATTACGCACTGGAAAGCAAAGCTTCTGTTCTCAATTTGAAAAGGGAAGTCTACCTATAAGCCCAGTACATTTACATTGTTTGTATGACAGAATGATTAGGTATTATCTTACTTTGCATACTTGATATACAATGTAATATCACTTGTTACTAAAAGTATTTCTAATGACCACTAATTTTCTTTCCTATAGAGTCACATAAAAAATTTTGAGTTGTTCATCTGACACAATGTGGGTCACACCAACCAGACAGAACTCATCTTTGCCTCTGTCCTACTGGTGCTGCCCCAGGAGCCAGCCTCCTGAGAAGGGGGACACACCAACCATCAGACCCCCTGGCTCTCTCTTCCCCCAACATGAGGCCTGGCCAGTGCTGGGAGAATTAACCATCAGACTCCCAACTCTCTTCCCCCAACATGAGGCCTGACCAGCGCTGGGAGGAATTAACCATCAGACTCCCAACTCTCTTCCCCAACATGAGGGCCTGGCCAGTGCTGAGAATCAACCATCAGATCTCCAACTCTCTTCCCCCAACATGAGGCTTAACCAGCGCCTGGGAGGAATTAACCATCAGACTCTGGCCTTCCCCAACATGAGGCCTGGACCAGCTGGGAGGAATTAACCATCAGATTCCCAACTCTCTTCCCAACATGAGGCTCACAGTGCTGGGTGAATTAACCATCAGACTCCCAACTCTTTTCCCCCAACATGAGGCCTGGCCAGCGCTGGGAGGAATTAACCATCAGACTTCCCAACTCTCTTTCCCCCCAACATGAGTGCTTTTCCTGGCCAGTGCTGGGTGAATTAACCATCAGACTCCCAACTCTCTTCCCCAACATGAGGTCACGACCAGTACTGGGAGAATTAACCATCAGACTCCCAACTCTCTTCCCCAACATGAGGCCTGGCCAGTGCTGGGAATTAACTTAATGACTCCCAACTCTCTTCCCAACATGAGGCCTGACTGTAGCTGGGAGAATTAACCACCGAATCCCAACCGTCTTCCCCTCAACATGAGGTCTGACCAGCGCTGGGAGAATTAACCATCAGACTCCCAACTCTTTTCCCCCAACATGAGGCCTGGCCAGTGCTGAATTAACCATCAGAATCCCAACTCTCTTCCCCAACGAGGCTCTGCCAGTGCTGGAGGATTAACCAGACTCAACTCTTCCCCAACATGAGGCCTGGCCAGTGCTGGGAGGACTAACCACTGACTCCCAACTCTCTCTCAACATGAGGCTAGCCTGGCCAGTGCTGGAGGATCAACCATCAGACTCCCAACTCTCTTCCCCCAACATGAGGCTCTCTCCAAGAAAAGGAGGATTAACCATCAGACTCCAACCTCTTCCCCCAACATGAGGCCTGGCCAGTCCAGGGAGAATTAACCATCAGACTCCCAACTCTCTTTCCCCCAACATGAGGCTCCGCTGTCCAGGAGAATTAACCATCAGACTCCCGACTCTCTTCCCCCAACATGAGGCCTGGCCACTGCTGGGGAATTAATCCATCAGACTCTTGACTCTCTTCCCCCCAACACGGGCCTGACCAGTACTGAAGAATTAAATCCACCAGACTCCCGGCCTTTCCCAACAGGGCCTGGCCACTACTCAGGGGGAGAGGAGGGCACAGGAGTCTAAGGCCAGCCAGTGCACACAGATGGTCCCGATGTTACCACAGCTATCAGTTCTCTGAATTTCTGTATCATTACATATTTATCTGATTTCTTTCTAACTTTATTAGTATCCATTTAAAATACTGTCTCTGTGAAGATTCCAAACATTTTGGAGTGCACAATCTTATTGCCTCACAAATACCCAGGAAAGAAAGGGAGATGTCAGCCCCATTTCATAGGCTGGAAAACAGAGAGAAGTGGCCATCAACTTACACCACAAGGAGTCAACGCTAAGAGCAGATGGCCAAGGCTGCCTGCTCCCTGCCTGAAGATGGCTGCTCAGAGAGGTCCCGCCGCTTCCCTTCCTGAGCTAGCCGACGGACTACTTTGGCCTTAAAACATCATCCCTACCAAGACAATCCTTACATCAACACCCGATGGAATTAAACTTCAGTACTGTTAATTAAAGCAGAGAAGAAACTCCCCAGGCCACACCATCAAAAATAGTTAATCAGCAGAAGTCAATTTATCATTATTTATTATCAAAATCATGACCAGTGTGTAGACATACTTGTGAAAATATACAGCAACTTGGGGCTTATAACACATGAGCAAAGATGACATTAACACGTGCACTGTCTACATCTTGGGGTCTAGAGGTCAACAACAAAGGTCATAGACAGGACGCTACCAACAGACTCCCCGCAGTAGGTCCCAAATTGCAGAAGCATCCAATTCCAGCATGGTCAGTGCGGAGATATTCACAGAAAGAAACCCAGCAAAGTCCTCTCTGAGCCGCTAGTCAACATGCTTTTCCCTACACACTAATGGAGAGCCCACGTCCCACACAACCCCTTGAGAACACAGTTCCAAGTCTTGGCTTACATAGTTTCCTCACTGCTGGCCTCAACACCCTTGGGCCATGCTCCTCTGCTCTTCCATTCCCACCCCAATAAAGGCATGACCGCATACAAAGAATAGTAAAGAAGGACTCTGAGGCCGCAGGACAGGGCCACAGCAGCAAACTTCCTGGGCAGTGTGTTACTGCTCCACCCACCTGAGCCCTGTTCCAGTGGCAAGGAGCTTCCCCAAGTCCTAGAGAATGATTGTACTTAGAAAGCTTTGTTTGTTTGTTTTTTTAAGAGAAAATTGTCTCACATGAATTTATCTTCCTCCTGTGTAGCAGTTATGTTATGCTTCCTCTAAACAGAAAGAGCTCTGATGGTGCCCGGCATCCTCAAGGGATGAAGCAGCCATGCTCACCATCCCTCAGGACTGACAAGTACATGTGGACACTTGAACCATGACTGTGTCCACAGCTCCTCCTGGACCAGGCCTGGTGCCTTAGTGTGAAGACTCCTGGCTTACATGGCAGGGGCAGCTATCTGGGAGGGCTAAACAGCCTGGAGGCTGAGTCTGCAGAGGAAGGGGGACCTTGAAAGAGCTTCAGGTACAGGTGCCCGCCAGGCCTGCACCTTACTGACGAGGCAGCCACTTCAGCCCGCCGAATCATGCAGGCTTCTCCGAAGGCACGCTGTCGCTGAGTTCTAGGACGAGGCTGTACCGCTGCACAAACTTCATCACCGCCTCCTGACTAAAGAGCTTAGGAGGGAAGCACAGTGCAGGGAGAGTTCACTATCTGGCCAAGAATGCTGTGCACAGATCAACCGTGCCGCCCCCACCATCCAGGAAGGGTCTGACTTCTTTTCCAAGACAGGGCAGCCCCACAGGGCAGTGCCCCACAGGACAGCTAACCCAGCTCCCACTCCCAGCCCCAGGGGCCCCAAAGCAGACTCCCACCCTGCCCTGTCCCTGTGAAGATCAGGCCAAAGAGGCTCCCTGTTGGCTGCTGACAGCAACATGAGCACATCTCTGGACGGCCTGGCTGAACTCAGAGAGACACACTGTATCCAAGGCGGTTACAGCACTGGAGCCAAGGCTCAGAATGACTCCACTCCACCAGACAACAACCAGCACAGCCCCTGAATACACAAGTCTTCTGTTTAGGTTTAAAACATTTCAAATAGGCAAGGTGCAAACGATGGAGATTTGAGAGCAGCTCATGTTCAAAAGCAGCAGATCCACAGACCACACAACATGGCTTCCAAAAGAGACAGCAAAATCCCATTGCTTTCATCAAAGCGGTGTGTAGATCCTGAAGGATGTCAGGACGGAGGCAAAAGAGCTTAGACCTAGACTGTGGTCACATGGGACTGTTGAAGAGTTTTAAGCAGAGAACAGATGGCGAGAGGCATGATTTCTGGCAGAGCAGAAGGACACCTGGTCGGAAATTATGACAAAGCACTCCTCTGCCTAAGACCAAGGAATGGAAATTAACAGACAGATTTCTAGCATTTAATACAAGCGAAATACCCAAACAAGTGTCCAATGAACACAGCCTCAGTCACTGGAAATGTTCAAGAGACAGACAAGCGACTAGACGCCAGGGTTTAACAGCTTATAGATCAACTGCATTGCACAAAAACTCCCAAGGCTTCCCACTACCCACGAAATGCCACCTCCTGCTGCCCGGCCATGGATCCTTCCCGCTCTCCTCTCTTCTTCTTCCCAAGAGATCTCATCTTCTCTTACTATTACAACTGGTCATCCTCTCCAGAAATCTCTCAAATTGCCATCTCCATTTCCAACACCAGTGCTGTCTCTCACTGTCTGGGACCCATGTCTGCCTGGACACTTTCTAATAGCACCTTCAAGTTCGACAGCCTCCCCAGCCCGGGAGACAGGCCAGACCCCAGTCTCTCCCTTCGGATCCCGGCCCTCTTGTGCCCTGCGGCCCAGCCACCAGTCTTGCCATCTGTTGTGTGTGTCCCTGGCCTGGGCCTTGCCCTGCCACCTCTCCCCAGTCACTGGGACAGCTTCACACAGGCTCCTACAGCCAGAACTGCAAGCTGTTCTTCAGTAGCTGCAGTTCTCTTTAAAACATTCTTGTACTACATCACTCCCCTCCTAAACAACTCCATCAGGAGCATGGGGCTGAGCAGGGTACATGTGTGCAGGGATGGCAGACCATGGTGACCTGTGACCAGCCCACTTCTGCTTGGGTAAGGAGGTGTCCCTTCAGGGTGGTGGCCTGGCACAGGCTGTCAGGGCCCACACGGGGTGAGGAGGTATCCCCACAGTGAGTAAGACAGATCAGGCTGTGACAGCCCATGCAAGTGAAGAGGTGTACTCCCAGGGACAGCGTGGTACAGGGATCACAGCCCTTGAGGGGAAAGGCAGCCTCCAGTACACGGTCAGGGAGGAAGGGGACAGCCCAGCATGGGGTGCTACAGCCCTGGATGGGGCCATGTGACAGGACACAGCAGCTACAGATTGGTCACACACAGAGAAAATGGTTGAACAGGTAAACCTAGGGAGGACAACAATCCAGGTTTTCACTGTTAGAGAGGTACAAATAGGGGGAGAAATAAGGAGAAAACTTGGATCAGTCGGGTGGTAAGTACATGGTTTTCAATTTACAGATGACAGATGCAGGCATAAGCATGAGCGGTGTGTGTGTGATGTCTACGCATGCAGGCATGTGTGAGCACGTATCATGTGCTTGTAGCCTCTGGCTATTGGGGACCTGGGAGCAGTGACACCTCAAGGCGCGAGCACACTTAGCACCCAGATCTCCTCCACAGGCAACCAAGGCTCCTGGGAGAAATGGCCAATTGCAGAGCTGGAGCAGGACAATACGAGAGAACCTGGAAGTGACTCATGTGCTGGAAAGTGAGGAGCTAGCCCAGGACAACAGGACAGCCCAAAGGCCCAGAAGCCACACTGAAGGGGCTCTCCTGGCCACAGATGGGTAATTTGAACATCAATATCACCGATGACTGTAACATAATCACCATTAAGAACATGGGAAACCATAAGATGGCACTGATGATCACTTACAGAAACTATCTCTCTGCGAGCGAATTCAGTAATTAAACACGAAAGAACCACATCAAGGTGGAGACACCTGGCATTCCTCGCCTGAATCAGGTGGCCGGGTTGCCTCACCCCAACAGAGCAAACTGATACTGTGCCCTCATGACAGCCTCAGCCAAGATGAGCACAGCTTCACGGCTGTACCACTACTGCCAGCGATACGAGACCAGAATCTCAACATGAAAACCCTACTGGAGTGGACATTCTGGGACACAGCTGACCTGCATGCTTCCCAAAGGATCAAAGGCCAAAACTTCAAACAAAAACGGGCTGAATATGCCCAGACTGGAAGGAGATAAACAGAGCTGACAGCTAAACACCACTTCTGATCCTGCTGATCCTGTTATAGCGACAACAGCGACAACTGGCGAAATCTGGATGGGGCCTGCAGACCAGACAGTCACAGGGGAGCTGTGGGCATCTCCTGGTTTCGACCGGTGGTAATGAGGAGAATGTGCCAAACACACGCTCAGGCATCTGCAATGAAATGAGAGGACATCAGCCAGCAGCTAACTCGAAACAGTGCTGGGGAAAAACTTTGTACCCTCCATTTCCACAGCTTTGACACTGTCTCAAAATTAAAAAAAAAAAAAAAAAAAAAAATCAGGCTGGGCATGGTGGCTCCTGGTTGTAATCCCAGCACTTTGGGAGGCCGAGGTGGGTGGATTACTCAAGGTCAGGCATTCGAGACCAGCCTGGCCAACACGGTGAAAACTCGTCTATACTAAAAATATAAAAATTAGCCGAGCGTAGTGGTGCATGCCTGTAGTCTCAGCTACTCAGGAGGCTGAGGCAGGAGAATCACTTGAGCCCAGGAGGCAGAGACTGCAGTGAGCCGAGATTGTGCCACTACACTCCAGCCTGGGCGACAGAGCGAGACTCTGTCTCAAAAACAAAAACAAAAAATCTTCAAATGACTTGGATTACATTTTGAATAAAACTGAACCTTCTTTCCAAGTCCATGGGGCTGGGAGCCTCTCTCACCTCCTCACCCAGCTGCAGGAAGATTCCGTGGTTCCCTCATGCTTGCAGCCCTCCTAACCATGCCCTCAATCAACGGTACGCCCTCACGCCCTACATGTGCCAGGCACTGCTGGAGGTGTGGAGGATGACAAATGAACTACGCAGAAAAACACCTGCTCTGATGGTATGGATATTCTATTCAGGGGAAGAGACACAAACAACCACCACTAACACTACCCTAAGCTAAGAGCTATGGATTCTCACTAACGCTCCTAGCACCTGATGTGGTGCTATTATTCTTTCCACTTTACAGACAGAGTACCTGAGGCAGAGAGTCCAAGTCTCTGGCCCAGGGTCCCACAGCTGGTCTGGCAGCCTCCAAAACCCCAAAGTGGCCTTTACCTGCCATTCTGCCTCCCCTAGGTGCCAGCAGGAACAGATGATATCTCTGGAGCCAATAAGGCAAAAGAGAAGGACAGATTTCTCAACAGATTAGACTTCACGCAGCAACCCACAGAACTCACATCACTGAAGACCGTGAGCTGTCTGAGAATGTGCACGCAGCCCCCAGGAGGTTCACAGTACACAGCCCTGCAGTAGGACTCAGCAACTGCTGCCTGTCAGCCCCAGGACCGTAAGGCAGCCAGTATTTCATATCAGTTCAAATATTCAGTATCAACTTCAAATACCTATTCAGCCTGTGAAATGGAGCTTGCTGGAAAAGCAGATTCTATATTACACAAGCGCCCATGTCAGCAAGTGATCCTCCACAGTGTAAACGTGCTGAGTTATGATGTGGGTGCTGTGGGGTGCTTCATGAAGCCACTGGGAAAACGGCAGCTTTGGAAGGCTGGGGTGAAGGCCGTTGGGTTGAAGGGGCTGTTGTGTTGAAGGGGCTGTTGTGTTGAAGGGGCTATGGCTGGCCATTGGTGGGGGTGGGTGACTTTTTTTTTTTAAAGGGAAAGATTTGGGTGTGGTGGGAGGTCAAAGGGCAGAACTCCAGAGAAGGGTGCTCTGGCAGTGAGGCTGCAAGAAGGCAGCAGAGTTGCAGGCGCGACGGCAGCTGTGGTGACTGGGTTACAGGGGTGGCCACACCTGCAGGAGTGGGAGGAAGGGGTACCTTCCGACTCTTTCCCTGAGGAGGCAGAGAGAGGGCGGAAGCAGAGAAGGCCTGGCACAGCCATGGCAGATGGAGGAGCGAGACTGACAGGCAGGCGGATGCCCACAGCCATGATGCAGAGTGGTGGCAATCACAACACCCAGAAACAGGGAAACCAGAAGAACCAAAGGTCCAAATGCTTCAAACTGCACTATGATTTGAAGAACAAACGCCTCTGGGCCACCCACCTAGAGTTAAATACTACAAGTAGAATTAGATTTTGTTAGCAGGGCTGGGGGACAGGACTTATTTCCATGATGCGCTGGAGAAGGCAGCATAGTTACCTTAAAAATCATCTTTGATCCAGGGTCTCTGAGATAAGAAATCCAGCATGGAAAACTCCAGGGTTAGGGCGGATGGTTGGATATGCCGACTCCAGTACTCCCTGCCAAGCAATGATGTTGTCTGGAAATCCAGGCATGTTCTCCACAAACAGATCAGCCCCCGCCTTCATCAGGCCAGAAACATAGACTCTGAAAAATTCACCCAAGCAGACAGTGAGCCATAGCCCCTCAATTTAAGATAAAAATTTTAGCCAAGCACCAAACTGGTCTTGGTCCAACTATATATATGGAAAGTGCTCTATGTCCATCATGAACAAAGGCACAGCTGCTGAGAAGAAACCTTTGTGCACAGGGCCCAGCATGAATAGAGGGGAAGCAAGTCGGGGGATGACCAAGGCCCTGCCAGCAGGGGAATGGGGCCCGGGCTGCACCAGCTGGCCTTAAGACACTCCCAGACTACGACTGCAATGGGAGAAAGAAAAGTGCACCCTTGAATCTTCTTAACATGCTATAGAAGGTGCACTGCTGCTCTGATTTCTGTTTATCCTATTTACGCCCACTTACTCTCTGGGCCATGATGCGCCGGCATAGCAACTGACGGCTCAGTTAATCCTACACACAACTTTGTATCCTGGCCATGGTCGCTTTCTGCCACCAGACAAAGTCCTCTGCAGGAGACAGCTGGACTCATTCGAACTGCAGCTGGTCCAGTAACACTTTTACTTCCCTTCGGTCACAGTATCGTACCCAGCAGGCTGTGGAACACCAAAAGCAGAGGGTTGGTGCGGAGAACCCCTGGCTCCCACTCTGGGCCTTCAGGCATGGGGCCTGCAGAAGGTGACTCCACCTCAACCTGAAACATCAGGCCCTGGGTCCCCTGCTCAAACTTGATTCACACGGGCTCCCTGGGGGCCCTTCCCCATCCAGAGCAGATCCAGTGTCCCCTCCAGAGAATCCCAAGTTCTCTTGCTGACCTGGGAGCCGGACAGGAGTCTCCCAGAGAGGGCAACTCAAAGCCCTGGCCTGCCTCCAGGGTTTCTCCTGACTGCCTAGACTTGCACCCTCAGATGGACTGGCCTGTTTTATTTCCTCAGAGAAAACGAAAGCACCTTGTTTCATTCTGTGACATCCATCACCTGCCTGGTAGGCTGCCAAAGGTCCTGTACTAGAAGCCGAAATATGATGCTGGAAATACTCCCTTGGCCTTTGAAGTAACAGGCTCTGCTGAAGCAGCTGGCCTGGCTGGTGAACTCAACAAATGGGAGACCTGGAGCAAGGCCGTGATCACCGCCCGTCATCTGTGCCCTCCATCACCAGAAGCAGGTAGTCTCTGCCTTTGCCATTTGCTGCTAGAATCAGTGAAATAAATCTTCCTCCCATCCTGAGTGACCGTAAGATCATTCACAAAGGACATTTTCTTCCTCAATGGGTGTCTCGGAGGACAGCAGCAGTTTTATTTCACCTGGAAGTTTCAAAAGAAAGAAAAAGATTGACTTGAACTAGGAACTTTCTTTTCAACAATTTCAAAATATTAACCAGCCTGATTTAAAAAGAAAAACTGAAACTTCTCCATGTCATATGTCAGAAGATTCATTCCTTCTTATAGTAAAACAGTATTAGGTATTAAAATGATTTTTTTAGACTAACTTCATTAAAGGCAGAATCTTTTCTATAAAGATGAGGAATTCTTTCTTCTAGGTCAATTGACCTGGAAGGTCAACTGACTTGATAACATATATTGCAAGTGTTAGGCAGGCTGTAGTTCTATCAGAAAATATGACATAGTCTACTCATCTGCTTTTAGAAAAAAAAAGCAGTAGATAAGTTCTGAAAATAATAGAAAGAACATGACTGAGTGCTAAGTAATTTGAGGTGTGACCGCTTTTAAACTCTTCACAACAATCCCACGGGCAGGGCTACTATGACCCCAATTTGATGAGGAAGCTGCACACAGAGCAGTCAAGGGACCTGCAGTCACAGCTGGTGGCCAGCAGAGGGAACAGCTCCCAAGCAGCTGGGCTGCAGGGCCTATATTCGGGCCCCCATGCACTGCACAAGACAATAGACTCCTTCCCAGCAGGAACCTCCACTGAGACACACAGCACATATTACAGTCTGGTCAAGGGGACTCAAGGAGCAGTCAGGGAAAGAAGAGGAGGAACCACAGGAGAAACAGAAAGGCAGAGACAAAGGGAGGGCCACAGAGAAGAAAAAGAGAGAAACAAATAGACAAGATGCAGAGAGACACACAGAAAAAATAAAGACAGGAAAGAGTCTAACTTCCTCAAAGTAAGACCTTTTGAGACCCTGTGGCTAAAATATAAATGCTTGGAGGAAATTAGGTATGGACCAATGCAATCATGGGTAGGGAGTTTTCTGGTGTTTAAAACTAGCTGACTTTTGCAGGCAATGCTTTCAGTACTTTCAGTGAATAAGAAATATCAGAGTCTGAAATAGACTGTTGTTGACAAATCCTATTAAGTCTATACATACATATACTATTTAAAAGATCTAAAATCATCATAGAAGGAAACAATATCACACACGTTTCCAGGATTTACTTCAAATAGTCCCTTGTATGCTAGCTAGCCACAAAGAGAAGTCTCCATTGGGCCCTGCACGGATACCCAGGGGTCTCCCACACACAGGCTCATCATCTCGGGTTTCTAGAAAAACAAACAGACGGGGATTGGTAGCTGGTCCCAGATTCTACCAATGCTGTCCTCAGTATCCAAGTATCTCATCCATCCTTTCCCATACAACACGCTGTACAAGATCATGGCATTAGAGCTAGAACTGCCCTGCAGGTGCTCACTGCACTGCAAGTGCTTAATGTAAGGTGTTCATGGGTGCCTACTGAGATGCTTATTGCAGTGGTGCTGATTGCAGGTGCTTATTGCAGGGTGTTCACTGTGGGGTGTTCAGTGCAAGTGGCTATTGCAGGGTGCTTACTGCAGGTGCTTATTGCAAGATGTTCATGTGAGTGCTCACTGAGTGCGCTATTGCAGGGTACTTACTGCAGGTAATTATATTGCAGGGTGTTCACGAGAGCATCATGCACTGCAGGTGCTTATTGCAGGGTGTTCACTGTGAGGTGCTCACTGCAGGTGCCTATTGCAGGGTGTTCACTGTGGGGTACTTGAGCTGCAGGTGCTATTGCAGGGTGTTCACTGGGGGTGCTCACTTGGTGGTGGTTACTGCAGGTGTTCACTGTGGGGTGTTTACTGTAGGTACTTTATCACAAGATGTTCACTGTGGGGTGCTCACTGAGTGGTTATTGCAGGGTGTTCACTGTGGGTGCTCTCTCTGCAGGTGCTTATCGCAAGGTATTCACTGTGGGGTGCTCCCTGATGGTGCTTACTGCATGGTATTCATGTGGGGTGCTCACTGCAGGTACTTATTGCAGGGTGTTCACTGGGGTGTTCAGTGCGCTTATTGCGGGTGCTTACTGCAGGTGCTTATTGCAAGATGTTCATGTGGAGTGCTCACTGAAGGTGCTTTAATGCGAGCGCACTTACTGCAGGTGCTTATTGCAGGGTGTTCACTGTGGGGTGCTCAATGTGTTGGTTACTGCAGGGTGTTCACTGTGGGTGCTCACTGCAGGTACTTACTCATGCTCACTGGGGTGCTCAACAATGTGGTTATTGCAGTGGCATTCACTGTGGGTGCTCTCTGCAGGTGCTTATTGCAAAGTGTTCACTGTGGGTGCTCCCTGGGACGCCTGCACTGCAGTGGCATTCAGTGGGGTGCTCACTGCAGGTACTTATTGCAGGGTGTTCACTGTGGGGTGCTCACTGCAGGTGCTTATTGCAGGGTATTCACTGTGGGGTGCTCACTGTAGGTGGTTATTGCAGGGTGTTCACTGTGGGGTACTCCCTGCAGGTGCTTATTGCAAGGTGTTCACTGTGGGGTGCTCCCTGAAGGTGCTTACTACAGGGTATTCATGTGGGGTGCTCACTGCAGGTGCTTATTGCAGGGTGTTCACTGTAGGGTGTTCACTGCAGGTGGTTACTGCAGGGTGCTCAATACAGGTGCTTTTGCGGGGCATTAACTGTGGGGTGCTCACTGCAAGTACCGCTGCAGGTGTTCACCATAGGTGTTCACTGTAGGTGCTTACTGCAGGGTGTTCACTGTGGGCTGCTCACTGCAGGTGCTTATTGTAGGGTGCTCACCATGGGTGCTCACTCCAGGTGCTACTGTAGGTGCTCACCATGGATGCTCACAGCAAATGCTTATTGCAGGGTGTTCACTGGGGGATGCTCACTGCAGGGTGCTTACTGCCAAAATGGCATGGAAAAAGGTAGGTTAAAGAACTGATGTAGAGTATAATTCCATCATATGTGTGGGTGTGGATGTCTACGAACAAAAAGATGTCTGAAAAGTAAACCACTAAAATGTTCATAATAATTACATCTGAAAAGACCAAGGTGATTTTTATTTTCTCCTTTGTACCTTTGTGTTGTTTGTGTTTATTAAAATGCATCATTTTAATAAAACATTCCAGCTATTAAAAAATGGTAACCATTAGGTCTACAGACTATCAGTTTTAAACAGTGAGTCTACTACTCTAGTTTTCCAAAATTTGAATGACTTAAGGGTATTCTCACAGGGCTGAAATTCCTGAGACCAAGGCAGAATAACACTTACACATCCGAGTAATGACAAGGCCACCTGCTTTTCCACAGCAGCACTGTGATAACACCTATTAGCCTCTGAAGTACTGCAAAGGTAAACAGGGACCCCAGTAAAACGGTGAGGGGCGAGGCCCACGCAGTACCAAGCAGGGACCACGGCCACTGCCCAGCTGCAAAATGGGGACTGCAGGTGACCATCAGGCACCATGAGGCCCAAGGACCACCAGGGAAATGAAGAGCTCATGGTGACGTCATGTTCCATCTACTAGATGGTCAGAGGTTCTTTTTCTCCTACAGGCATTCTAGGGAAAAGCAGTTCCACACAGTGATCCGACATCTTTCTGAAAGACTGGAAGAGATACGTCAGGGGATTATCACCAACTTACCGCACGGACCCGAACCAAACCAGGCAATGGTCTCTATTTCACCATTTTCAAGTTTTACAACCCGGCCATCTGCTGTCCCAGTAAACATCACATCTGTTTAAACACACAAAAAGGAGGAAGAGCAATGTTAGCCTAAGAACTGTGACTAAGCCACCTTCTCCTATAAGAGGGCTTGTTTATGTGTTCCCCCTGCCCCTCTAGAGGAAATGCCAATTCTGAAGACGAAAGAGAAGCAATTTGTGGGAATACAAAAATTCCTTAAAACTTACAGCGATAAAACTGCGGGGGCCTAGGGAAGCAGCCTGTGGGTGTGAACCGGACTCAAGAGCAAGGGTGCAGCAGACACCCGTCAGTGATGAGAACTGTGAGGATTTTCTCCAGTCCTGAAGCACTCAAGCTGACACTCAGTACTTAGGGGCATGAGTTTATATTCACCTCACATCAGTGTCTGCTACTGATATTGATTATATCCAACTAAAGGGGAAGAGCTGCCAGAAATCCTTTAGGAGAAAATTATAGCACATGAAGCGCTTACTTCAGCAGCACATATACTAAAATTAGAATGATACAGAGAAGATCAGCATGCCCCTTGAGCAACGATGATACACAAATTCTTAAAACATTCCATAGTTTTCAAATGTATATAGTAAACTCAAGGGTAACCACTATAAAAAGTAAAAAAAAAGAAGTATAACTGATACGCTAACAAAGAAGAGAAAATGGAATCATATAAAATACTCAGTTTAAAACTACAAAAGACAAAAAGAGAGTAGAATGCAAAAACAGAAACAAGAATAAGGGCAAAGAATAGAAAACAGTAACAAATATGGTAGCTATTAATCCAATATATCAATAATCGCTTTAAACATAAATGGTCTAAATACACCAAATAAAAGAGAGACATTATTCAAAAAACAAGACCCAACTCTATGTTGTATACAAGAAACCCACTTTTAATATAAAGACATATATAGATTAAAAGTGAAGGGATGAAGAAAGTACATCATGTTAACACTAACCAAAAGCAAGCCAGAGTAGCTGTATTAAATTCAGACACAGAAGACTTCACACCAAGGAAAGTTATCAGGGATAAAGAGGAGCACCACACAATGACAAAGGGGTCAATTCCTCAAAAAGACATAAGAACTTTAATGTGTATATGCTTCACAATAGAGCACCAATATGTGAGGCAAAAACCAATGAAACTGCAAGGAGAAACAGAATCCACTATCACAGAGACTTCAACAATCGAAACAAGAATAATCACATGATCATATTAACAGATACAGAAAAAAGCATCTAGTAACATCCAACACCCATTCACGATTAAAAGCTCTCAGCAAGCTGGGAGTAGAGGAAAACTTTCTTAACTTGATCAAGAACATCTATAAAAAAATCTACATAAAACATCATACTTATGGATGACAAACTAGAAGCTTTCCTGCTAAGATCAAGAACAAGGCAAAGATGCCCCTGTCACTACTCCTTTTCACTATCACACTGGAAGACCTAGCTAATGCAATAAGACATGAAAAGGAAACAAAAGGTACACAGATTGAGAAGAAAGAAATAAAACTCTCTTTGTTTGCAAGTGACATAATTGTCTAAGTAGAAAATCTGAAAGAACCAACAACAAACCCTTCTGGAACTAAGCAACTATAGCAAGGCTGCAGGATATTGCAAGATATTGACTTACCTTCCTTTATACTAACAATGAACAAATGGAATTTGGAATTGAAAACACAACACTATGTACATTAGCATCCAAAAGAATGGCATGCTTAAGTATAAATATAACATAATATGCACAAGGTCTGTATGAGGAAAACTACAAAATTCTGATGAAAGAAATCAAAGAACTAAATAAATGGAGAGATATTCCATGTTCATGGATAGGAAGACTTAATACTGTCAAGATGTCAGTTTTTCCCAACCTTAATCTATAGATTCAATGTAATCCAATCAAAATGCCAGCAAGTTATTTTGCAGATACAGATGAATTAATCCTAAAGTTAATATGGAGAGGGCAGAGACCCAAAATATCCAACACAATATTGAAGGAAAAGAATAAAGTCAGAGGACTGAAACTACTCAACTTCAAGATTCACTATAAAGCTACAGTAATCAAGACAATGTCGTATTAGCAAAAGAATAGAAAAATAAATCAATGGAACATATAAAACTTTTATCCCAGAGACAGACCCACATAAATATAATCAACTGATCTTTTGACAAAGGAGTAAACGCAATACATAATGGAGAAAAGACAGCATTTTCCACAAATGGTGCTGGAACAAATTTGTTTGCATCCACAGGCAAACAAATCTAGACACAGATCTTATACCCTTCACAAAAATGGAATTCAAATTGGATCACAGACCTAAATGTAAAATACAAAACAAATTCCTAGAAGATAACATAGGAGAAAATCTAGGTCACCTGGGGTATGATGATGAATTTTTAGATATAACACCAAGGTGAGATACATGAAGAAATAAAAAGCGAAACTTCATTAAAATTAAAAATTCTTGCTCTGCAGAAGATACTGTCAAAAGAATGAGAAGCCACAGACTGGGAGAAAATATTTGCAAATGACATGTCTGATAAAGAACTATTATCCAAAATACACAAACAACTCTTAAAACTCAACAATAAGAAAATGAACAACCCAATTACAAAAATGGGCAAAAGGCCTGAACAGACACATCACCAAAGAAGATACACAGATGGCAGTTAAGCATATGAAGATATTCCACATCAAATATCATCAGAGAAATGCAAACTAAAACAACGAGATACCACTACACGCCTATTAAAAGGGCCACAATCCAAAACACTGACACCACCAAATGCTGGCAAGGACATGGAGCATCAGGAACTCTAATTGTTAATGGGAAGGCAAATGGTACAGCCACTTTGGAAACGCTTGGTGGTTTCTTACAAAACTTAACTCTTACCACACAATCCAGCAATTATGCTTTTCAGTATTTACCCAAATGAGCTGAAAACTCAGGTCCACACAAAAACCTGCCCACAGATGTTTGTTCCAGCCTTATTCATAACTGGCAAAACTTAGCAGCAACCAAGATGTATTTTAGTAGGTAACTAAACTGTGGCACAGTCATACAATGGAATATTATTCAGTGCTAAAAAGAAATGAGCTATCAAGCCATGGAAAGACATGGAGGAACTTTAAATAAATGCATACTACTAAGTGAAAGATGCCAATCTGGAAAGGCTACATACTGTATGAGTCCAACTACATAACATTCTGGAAAAGGCAAAACTATGGAGATGGCAAAAAGATCAGTGGTTGTCATGGGTTAAAATTGGAGGATGGGATGAACAGGCAGAGCAGAGAGGATTTTCAGGGCAGTGAAAACACCCTGTATGATACCATAATGGTGGATACATGGCATTTGTCCAAACCCATAGAATGTATAAAATCAAGAGTGAACCCTACTGTAAACTACAGACTCGGAGTAATAATGACATATTGATGTGGGTACATCAGTTGTAACAAACGTGCCACTGTGGTGGGGGATGTTGATCATGTGGGAGGCTGTGCATGGCATGTGTGCAGAAAAAGCATTTGATGAAATGCAACACCCAATCATAATAAAAACTCTTTTTCAGAAAATCTCTGTACCTTCTGCTCAATTTTGCTGTGAATCTAAAACTGCTCTTAAAAATAAATCCTGCTATAACTGGTGATTGCTCTCTCCCAGCACTCCCCAGAGTTAGCACCTCCCTCCACTGTCAGCAACCTGCCAGCCAGCCCCCAGGGCAGCTTCCAAATGAGGTGGCAGAGATAGCAGTGGCAGGTCCCTGGGTGCCTCCCAGGGGCTCACACCCACCAGAAAGGACCCCACTGTGCCTGGCCAAGAAATATCACCAGCTCACCAAAGAAACAGAAAAAGCTGGGACCTGGTGACAAAGTACAATGAGAAGTAAGCCCAGTGAAAAGGAAAAAGGCAGGAAAGTGCTCTCTTGGGGAGGTAAGATCATTGGTTTGCACTTCAACTGCTGTTAAGTTTCAGTTTTAAATAGCAATATTTGATTTTTCACCAAAAAAAGCTAAAGCTTATAAAATTTACACAAATAAATGCCAATGTCTTTTTAAGAGAAACGCAAAGTTCTATCATGATATTTACTTTTCTTGAAACAATTATGACTTTGACAGCCAAGAAAACAAACCAACTGCAGAAATGGACCAGTCCTTGGGGCCTGTGTGAAATAGCAGGGCCTGGGCAAAAGAAGCTGGTCAAACGTCACTGGAAGAGAGGCCACTGACCGGCCTTGAGAGCACAACAGAAGCACCCTGTGTGCACATCCACAGCCACCTACTGCCTGGAGAACAGAGTGTGTTTCGGAATAACAAGCGGCACTTCCAAAGAAGCTGCTCAGCAAGGCCGTACCAGATTAAGTTTTAAACTATCTGTGACTATCTGTGCCTTTCCAATACGAAACTTAATTCTCATTTTCACAAACAGAAAATGCCTTGCTCAAGGTTGCTAGAGATGCAAGTATTCGAACCAGATCCAATTCTAGCTCTGAGGTGTGGGCAAGTGTGATGCAGATGGTTATCCTTAAGTGTACCCATCAAAGTGAGCTTTCAAACAGACAGACAAAAAAACTGGAAATATTGAGAACCATTTGTCTTCACTTCACAGTGAAATCTATACAAAGCAAAGGGAACTAAGAAATGCTGTGCTGTCAAATACCTATTTAACTTTGATAAATAAACTAAACATCAGTATCTGTATTTGGCCTTTTTCCTTTTGCAACACTCTGAGCACAACAAAGTGCTCCACAGAGATGAACTGAAAACCACCAAGTGCTAAAACGGCATGCAACCTGCGCAGATGAGACCAGCAGAAAGAGCCACTAGGCACTAGGGCCTCCCACGTGGTGTCTGGGGTCCAAGCCCCATGTCCACAGCTAAGAAGGATGTGCAGGGCCCCAGTCCAGGGGCAGAGTGCCACTGCAGCTGCTCCCACAGAACCCACCCCCTCAGACAACAGAGAGCCTGGAAGGGCCCCCAGCTCAGACTTAGCCCCGATATCTGCTATGGACTCCGGTCCAATAAGCTGATTTTCAAACAGCCTTTCTGCCTGTCGCAACTTTGTATTTGGATGCAGAACGCCAAGCAAGAGCGGGGGTTCTTTGAAGCTGCAAAATAATGCAGTTCCAGAGATTTGTCCATAAATACACATGTGAAGAAAACCTGTACCAAGCACCTACTCTTGGTTCTTTGATAAAGATGGCACTTTCTAACAACATCCTCAGTTGCCAGAAATAGAAGGGTTAAGAAAAAACTGTTCCAGCATATCAGAAAATGTCACAGTCAAAAGAAATATAAAAATATAAATGTGCTAGTGCAAGGTCTTCAGCAGTCCTGTCACCTGAGAACATCCTGGGGCCTGTGCCCACCCACCCTCCAGCCTCCCCAGCTCCCCACCCCCATCCAACGCCTCAGGGCAGCTGGACCTCCTCACCCCTGTGACTCACACAGCCCTATAGCCACCGCAGTCCACCTAGGGTGGTGGGGGGCAGTGCCCACGTTTCACACCTGATGGCCCGGCCTCATGCTTCACAGAGAAGACCAAATCCATTCTCCAAAATGCTGCTCTATTATTTTATTTATTTTTTTTTTTTACCATAAATTTGACTTTAACTGATATTTTTTCAGTGACTGGAAACATCCATATCCTTCTATGAAAAATAAACTTTTTGTTCCCTTCTGGAGAGAAACCATGTCCTTCCACAGAGTGACTGTGGGCTGAGAGGGCTGCAGCTGAGTCGATACCCAGTGGGATGGCATGCATGGGGCACAGGCTGTGTCATGGCCCGTGTACCTGTGTGAGACACACCAAGCTCTGTCACGTAACAGGCTTCTGCTTCTGCTCTGTATTTTGGGGCCTATCTTCCTGTTTTTGAGTGTGCCATTCTGAAAGCTGAGCCCAGGAGAGAGGTCCCTGTTGGCTGTGACAGTTCCACTGCCATTCTGAAAGCTGAGTCCAGGAGAGAGGTCCCTGTTGGCTGCAACAGTTCCACTGCCATTCTGAAAGCTGAGCCCAGGAGAGAGGTCCCTGTTTGAGCCCCAGGAGAGAGGTCCCTGTTGGATGCGACGGTTTCACTGCCAAAAGTTGAGCCCAGGAGAGAGGTCCCTGTTGGCTGTGACAGTTCCACTGCCATTCCGAAAGCTGAGCCCAGGAGAGAGGTCTCTGTTGGCTGCGACGGTTCCACTGCCATTCTGAAAGCTGAGCCCAGGAGAGAGGTCTCTGTTGGCTGTAATGGTTCCACTGCCATTCCGAAAGCTGAGCCCAGGAGAGAGGTCTCTGTTGGCTGCGACGGTTCCACTGCCATTCCGAAAGCTGAGCCCAGGAGAGAGGTCCCTGTTGGCTGCGACGTTCCACTGCCATAAGCTGGAGCTCAGGAGAGAGGTCCCTGTTGGCTGCGATGGTTCCACTGCCATAAGCTGAGCCCAGGAGAGAGGTCCTGTTGGCTGTGATGGTTCCACTGCTATTCCGAAAGCTGAGCCCAGCAGGAGAGAGGCCCTCTGGCTACGATGGTTCCACTGCTTCTCTCTCCTTTCCCTTCCTCATCAGGCTCTTCTACTCAACAATCATAACTCACTTTGTACAAACAACTTGCAATCCCCAGTGGGCTCTGTTTCCTTTCTCAGTGTCTGGCCAGGGCTACATAACCCATCCCAGTGCATTCTCACCACTCTTTCCACATATACATTCATCTTTCCTGAGATCAAAGGTCTGCAATCACTGAGGCTCCAACCTCTCTCCAACTCAAAACTCAACTCCCAGCCTCCTTTCCGCCAGCCCCCAACCTGCTTCTAATCCCTGCAACTGCAGAGCACAGTTCACTCCCCCACCTTAGCCAACTGGACTATCTAAGAAGGCCTATGTCAGTTTCCTTTCTTTGGGTAGAATGAGCCATCCTGCTCTTGTTGAGAAGGGTTAGAGAGAAGCCCCTCCCCTCAACACACCAGGGGACCACCCCGCCACCCGCCTCCGACACCCCTCCCTGGGAGACAGATGTCCCCGGTACCCAGCCCAGCAGAAAACGCATCTGAGGATCCACCAGCACACCAGAAATCATTAAGAGCTGACATTCCTGGGGCTGACTAGAGTCCCCAGTCCTTCACCCATTCTCAATCCTAATGAGCAAATTGTGTGTTTACAGCACTCAGCCTTCACTATTCTAAATCCAACAACAAAAGTCTACTCATACACATGTCAATCTAAGGTCAGAACTGGTTCTCTATATTCTTAGTGAATTGATCCAATATAGCTTTAATTTTTATGGATAAAACACTATTCAGTTAGGTATGTTATATTCACTTTAACTAGATATGATTCTATCTGAAGTTTTTCAAGCCTTACATGGACTAACCTTACTTTACAGTAAGTTTCAGATGGTTTACCTCATTAGCAGTTGCAAGGGGAACCAGGAAATTACTGAATCAGACAGCACAACCTCCTGCAACTAGGTCAACATGGAAGTCACAGATCGCCACCACATTGATGAGAGAGCCTGGCTCTGTACAACTATAGTTATAAACAATGACCTATTTCAGGGCCCTACATATACAATACTTTTTTCAAATTATAATGGACTGCATTACTCATAGATCTCTATTGGTGAAAGGTAACTCAGGAAAAAATGAACACTAATTATAGGTTTTATAGAAAATCAGTTACTTATAAAATTTAAATGAGGTAACTGAAGCTCCATTCATGTGTATTTTTGCTACTTGAATGAATTATGGTTGACTGTCTTAATGATTATTAAGCTTTCGACTTTTGAATTTTGTTTTGGTTTACGCAGTTTTTTAAAAACAATGACAGGAAAAATACCATGCATATTTCCTGAGTAACATCTAACTCAGCATAAAAACCTAAGTACAAAAGAAATCACAAACTGCGTTTCTCCTAACTTACCTTCAGATCGATTGACTTAATAATCTCCCTTCCTCGGGGAATCATTTCAGTATTACGTTTTTGTCAAGCAACCCCTCCTGAGGACCACGGGGCAGCCTACCTGAGAGGCTGTGGATCTATAGGAGATTCCAGCAGCATCATGGCTCCAAGCAGGGAACAGTGAGAAACAGCCAGCATCAAGAAGGTCACTCGGAAAACTCTGCCGCTAAAGGAGCTGCCAGAAATAAAAGATACAAAAGCACCAGCTGAGTCTCAGACAGTGACAAGGTTGGCCGGTCCGAAGCTTCCTCCCGGCAGTGAGCAGGACACTATCCAGTTTCTCTCACTGCAAGGTGGCCGACCTCTGGCCTGTGATTAAACTTCAGCACTGTTTGCTAGGATTGGCAAACACACTTTTGTTGTTGTTGTTCTTTTAATCTTCCAGCTTCCCTGTGTGATACGTTGATCAGTTACTTCAGATCTTGAATCCTCTAGCAGGTTTTAAAGAAGGCAAACTCGTGTAATCCTGATGAACACAAATGTCATGGGGAAAAAGAGTTCTAATGATGTAAATGATACACACTCATCCAAGCCAGAAAAGGCGCAATTCTCGTAACCCACGAGATTTCCGCATGGATTCAAAGCAGCAACACTCAGTACTGTGCAGCCCTAAGATTCTCACAGATAAAAGAGATAGCTAAATTTTGAAGGAAATGGAAGCAGAACAACTCTCTGAGGATCCAATTCCCCCATCACTTTTCCTAACCTACTTTAAGAAATCAAAAGGAAATCCCAGCTCTTCAACTCATGAGAAGTCTGACAGATACTGACAGCATTCACACAGGATCTATAAAATTATAATTCAAAGTCACCACTCCTAAACTCCTTGGGAAGCTTTAAAGTTTCCCTGGGAATCCTGGGTGAAGCTTTTGGGACAAACAGACCAGTAGTGCCTAAATATCTCTGAACCAATCTTCAATACAGTATTTCACCTGGCAAACAAGGAAACATTTGGCCTCTTCCTACTAATAAACTTCATAGGATCATTACTAGCTATATGAATTGAACTCAAACATATCACAAATGTTTAATATTAATATTAACTTAAATAAATCATGAGTTCCTAGTAGAATGTTTTTCTTCCATCAAAAAATTAAAGTGTTGACAAAGAAAAAAGACTACACTTAACAAAACAGACTTGATTTAAGGGCAGGTATGATTTTGACAGAAGTGTAGTCTTGCCACTTAGACGTGGTTAAACTCTGTTCGGATATGGTGTAGAAACATATAGTGGCCAAGTCCTCTTCCCAACAACCGGCCAGGGAACTGTACAGTTTTCCACTCCAAAACCTACAGTTTCCCCAGCATGAAACGGGGTGTTGGGCAGGGTAACTTCCTGAACATGCATGATTTTAACAAACGAATAAAGCAGAAGAGAAAATAAACTTTCTCTATTTCTACTGGGGTAGTGTGAAATAAGACAACGAAAGACCAAGGGGAAGAAGAAGGAGCAGTTTTCACAAAGTGTCCTCGTGGTGGACAGCACTCTGCAGAGCGCTGGGTTTTGCCACCAACCTGAGTGGGTAGGAAACAGAGTCTCCCAGAGCCTGGGTGAAACAAAGTCCTACTGACACCCTGATCTTAACACAGCGAGACCTGCCCAGGACTTCTGACTCACGCAACTATTATATAATAAATTTGTGTTGTTCAGACACTCATTGTGTGTAAATTGTTAATGGCATATAAAAATTAACAGTTTTCTAATAAACTAGTTTCAGCACCCTAGAAGTGGGGTGTTGCTGTAACAAAATATCTAAAAAATGTGGAAGTAGCTTTGGAATAGGTAGAGTTGTGGGGTGAATGAAGAAGGAATTTTGAGGAGCAGTGACAGAAAAGCCTAGACTTCCTGAACACAGTAGTAAACTATGGATGTTAAAGACTCGGCTCTCGAGGTCTCAGAAGGAAGAGAGGGAGTATAGCAGGAAAACCATCGCTCTTGGAGAACACCTAATCAAAACAAAGACTGTTGGCACTGTTGGGAGGGAAGGAAGGATGTCAGAGCATGGGATTGGAAACTGGAGCGAAGTGGATCCTGTAACACAGTGGTAGAAAGCTTGCTGAATCATGTCCTTGCAGTTACATGGAAAGCAGAGCTTCTAAACACTGAAACTGGACCCAGGTGAGGACATTTCCAAGCACAGTGATCAAGGCAAGGCCCGGTTTCTCCTGCGGCTCTCCTCCAGAGCAGAATAGGTTCCAGCAGTGTTAACCACCGCCTTCTTCCTTTCTGGGCATTTCCCTACAAGAGAATTCTGTGTCTATTTTTCTTCTAATAATCTTCCAAAAATGAGTCTTTGTCCCTAACTTCTCCTCTTCACTCGTAAGGCTCAGAGCTCACCCCGTACACCTGAGGCCAGGTAAAATGCTGGCATAGAAGTCCACTTTTATTGGGAAAGGAGGTGGTCCATACCAGACAAACCCAAACAAATGCCACAGACCTGGGCAGGGAGAGGCCAAGAGAGCCCAAGTTCCTAGAAGAGGGCAGGTGAAAATGAAGTGAAAAGTCAAGTCAATCCCCTTCCTCCCAGTCCTGTCTCCAAACCTCAGACCAGCTAATCTTTCTAATGTGACTGACTTACATCAGTCAAGGCAAGCACCACAGGCATAAAAATGTCAAGGCAAAGCATGTGAACTATGACTGGACATACAATGGCAGGCTCAGGCAACCTGAGAGGTCTGCAGCAGGGAAAGGAGTAAGGGCCAGGAAAAGAGGAATGGCAAACAGTCAAAACGAGAGTAAAGCAAGGAAAATGGCTTTACGGGCAAACCAGATGGAACCAGGTCTCTTTCACAAAATGAGGGAAGTGGGCAGGGAAGGCCCAACGGCTTTCCCATGACAACGCAAGAGCCAGCATGCGACTAAGAGCCAGATGACTCTATGGCTGCAGTCACCATTAGGGAAGCGCCTGCCTGCCAAGAGCAAGAGGAGGGAGGGAGGATGCCTAAGACTTGAGCCTCAGAGCTGGAGTTTGGAAAGCTCTGTGAAAATTCATAGATTTTTTGCCTATTCTGTGGCATTTCACATAAGCAGAATTATACAATACGTGTCCTTTCATGACTAGCTTCTTTCATTCAGTGTGGTTTCAGCCCATCTAAGTTGCAGTGGCATTTGCACATGGTTCCTACCAGCTGATTACATATGCACAGTCTACAACTTGCTGCCCACTTATCTGATTTTGTTTTTTAAATATAAGATACAGTCTCAGCACATGTCGACAGGCTGAGACTCCTGGGCTCAAGTGATCCTCCGTCTCAGTCTCCCAAACAGTTAGACTACAGGTGTGCATCACACCTGGCTAATTATTTTACTTTTTGTAGAAAAAACATCTTGCTATGCTTCCGTTATCTGAACTGCTGGCCTCAGCCCGACCTTAGCCTCCCAAAGTGCACCCTGAAATGAGTAGGCATGAGTGCACCACGTCCAGCCCCAGCCATCTGCTGAACATTTGTGTGGGAGGAAACAGATGATTACTTAATTGGTACAAGGCAAACACACCTTGCTTTATGGGGTGATGAAGTGTTTTGAAAGCAGAGAGACCTACAGAAGGCCTAACATTGTGAATACACTAACATCACTGAACTGTGCACTTTAAAAATGGTTAATTGTATGTTATGCGATCACCAACTAAAAGAAAGGTGACAGTGACAAGAATGTTCTAAACTTAGATTGCAGAATTACTGCAAAACTGGCCACATTATACTAAAAATCACTGATTTGAACATTTTAAGCACGCTCATTCTTTTATGGTAGACAGGAATTACATCTCAATAAAGATGCAAAAAAAAAAAGTCAGTGATTCAGACTATGCAACTCACACGCCAGTGGCTAAACACTGTAAACCCGAAGTGATTTTCTTTGAAGTGGACTTAAAGTCTCTTCAAATTACTAACAGAAATGGGAGCACTTGTAAATAAATAGGCTGGTTACAAGCAAATGACAGAAACGTCGACAGCAGAACCCAAAGAGAGACAAGCACACGGAAAGGTGGATGGTGAAGATGTGTGGCTGCCAGCCCTGAGAGGTGCCTCACTGCAGTCTGGTACTGAGTCCACAGGATGCTCCGTCTCAGTGAAGCTGATGCCCTCACCTACCCCACTCCCAGCAGAGAGAGTAATTAGGGAAGGTAATGTATTTTCACCAGTGACCCTCACTGCAAACAGTAATAATCACAAAGGCCACTTCTATTTGTCCTTGCCTAACCTGGGATTCTACCCAAGGCAGATCTTCCTCATCTGTCTTGACTCCAACATTGTGACCTCTACTTTACCACACATTGCGCTACATTTTTGAAATCTGATGGTAATTCAGATTCCGGTTGTGGCACTTATTTAAATATCTGCTTGCCCCCTTCACACACAATGAAGTCTCAATTATGTCCCAAACAAAAGTTCAGCCAGGACTGAAAGCCACAGGCTTACAGCCTGGAAAGGAGCCAAAAGTCCACAGAGACAAAGATTTGTGTCCCAGTGCTGGGGGATCTAGTATAAATAATTTTCAAAGCTGAAGAATTTAGAGGCCACTCAGGCAACTGTTCCCAAAGGCAGCCAACTTCTGGATGGGTTCCATCAAGATGACCTGGGGCCAGAGATTCTGGTTTGGTAGGCAGGCTGGCCTGCGAACTCTTCATCCGTTGTTCCTCGCGTGTAGCTGGACACCACCACCTCTATCCCAGCCCTTCCAGTCAAACCTACCAACATCTCCCCAACCTCAATTCGATCAGCATCCAGCCCACTGGAACAATCAAAAATTTCACAGCAAGAAACAATTGTTTCAAATTTAAATAAACTCCTTGAGCAGTACTGTCTGGGCTAGAACTTTTCTGTAATGATGGAAATATAATAGTTATTTAGCTATGTGCTTCTGAGCACTTGAATGATATTTGTTTATATAAACGAGGTAAGCCCAGCTCCCGGACCCCTGCTCTGGGTGCCACTTATTTTAGCCCAAGGTTTGTTAACTTTTGGCAGGCTCCTCGTCAGTGGTTGCTTCCTGTAAACTCACAGTTAACTACAATTCTTCTGTCTCTTTTCTTGGTGTCTGCCTCCTCTTACTCTTTTAACTTAAAATAAAGGACACTGTATCGATCCCTATCCATTTTCACTGACAAAGCACTGCAGGTTCCCACCTGTGCTGACACATCCAGGAAGGGCAACTTATTTCCCAGGTGCAGTCTGAG